GTTCCTATGAAAAGGTAAATCGTAGGAATATAAAAATCAGTTACAGTTATGAATGGGCTAGAAATATTTTACAGATTATAATGGGTGCGTCCTTAGTTAATGACGACGTTAGGCTGATGCCAAGTGAGTTGTAGAGCCAAAAGTTTTAAGGCACTTCAGATACTAGAGGGTCACCCAAAAAAAATGATAGAGTTCGATGTATACTATCGATGTTTTTAAATATTTCATAAAATAAGTGAATTTCAGCTTATGTTTTTCTGACTGACTCAAATCAGTTGTACTCCAGGCCTCTACAAATGTAGTCAAGTGAGCGATGGTTCTAACTAGCGTAACTGCTGCTGCAGCAGCATCCGGACAGTTTCTACATATTTACTAAAAATAACATTTGTTGTTGTCTTAAAAGACAGCCATTTATTTTTACTGTGGACTATTCGATTCTGTCATCAGCACGAAACGCTCTTCATTTCCTCTCGCCTAATTAAGTTAGATCGACACTAATGACAAACAGATCTGCAGGCCGACACAAGAGCTCAGTCACTGCGTTAAATAAAAGCAAGGTTTCAATGTCTCATTAAACTATTTCCAGAGGCAAGCGATATGACGAGAACAAACAAAACACTAAATATACGCAGTGGCGCCCGGACCCGTATTGATCAGCCCCATCGTTAGGAATCGAATTTGTGCATTCCTCGTCATCAGCAGACGACTTTTGCATCTCTCTCTACGGCTGAGCCTCATCCGCAACTGTCGACACGTCCACAATAATTGCTTACATGCCTTTGTTCAAGATGTAGCAATCGGAAATTAAATATTACAGGTACATATATATGTAAACATATTGAGATATTCTATGTGATGATGTTCCGGATTGTAAATTGGGGAAACTTCAGGCAACGAGCTCAGATATTGACAACAACAGCAACGACGACATGAAGCAACAGATACCGTACGAACCGTTTGGGAGATACTGATACTGTTCGCATCTTTTGTGCAGAGCACGACGCAGCTACGTTGTGTAGTACAATGTAGGAAACCCATTTCAGGCGTGCCAAGGAGATAATATTCAAGTGGCGCGGGAGTAATCATAAGATGGGACCGGTCGGGTAACCACAGCTACCGCTACTGAAGCAAAAATTGCCGACGACGCGTACCTTTTACGGACGCTATTTACTAACGTTATGATGACGCTGAAATTGTTTATGATGATGACGGCGTTCTGTTCAGTTCAGTTTCCGCCCGTGCCCCTATCGCTCTTCAACTGCTCGCAAGCATTATGAAAACGATTCAAGGTCGTAGTCTCTCATCAGTGGAACAACAGAAAACTTATACACAGATACACAATGATTTCATCACTATAATCATTGCCACAGCACGGAGTAGGACACAACGATGGTACATTGTATACTCTCCCATAACCGCCCTTTGTAATATCAATGTCTCATAATAACAATGTATGTTGTTGCTGTTTTTGTTGGACTACAAGCATCTATGTTACGTGCATCTAAACACCAACGATAGTGTTACACAGCGAGGAATAGTACTCGTACATTTTCTAGCTACAGTATGGAATAGTACTTACTAATCATAGGTAATGTATGTGATCATATATGTATATGATAATAGCGGAACGCTTTGTGTGTCACGTCATACGTAACCCTATGCAGTAGTAATATAACGGATGCGGCAGAGCAGTCGATACCGCGGTTTTCACCATAAGTATCGTTCCTATATATAAATTACGATCCGATAAACATGCGGATCAATAATCTATGATGTTACCTTAATGATGGAGCATTATTTTGACCTTTTTGTTTTTGTCGACAGATGTTTTTCTGCCGTAGGATTTTTCACTATTACATTGGATGTGATTTAAGTGTGTACGTATCGGGTGATAAATTGGCGATACAATTGGATTGCTATAGAATCGCCATTGGACTCGGGTTTACGAAGCTGCCCATAACCACTGCACAAGGGCCACATCAATTATTCTACTTTATCGCCTAACTACAGTATAATATGATGTGACGTGGAAAAGGACCGCCACATGATTTTTCGAGGTGACAGAATGCTTTATTTTCCAGTATTTCATTAAAACTTCAATATACATCAGATGGCAGCATGCAATGCGTTATCTGCAACTAACCAGTATTTCTGATTTCTGTTTGACTTAATATAAAAACAAGAAACCTGATGACGAATGATACTGCTTCACTCGAAATCCATTCTGGGCACTGGTCTTCCACTATTCTCGCTAGACCTCACTCCGTTGCTGGCATCCAATGTGTCATCGATTTTATCCTCAAACGGGTCTCTTTTCAAAAGCTATTTTGTATACTACAGCACTGAGGATGGCCGATCAAGCAACCAGCCCAAAAGTTGAACCGAATTCGTAATCAAACCACTGATCCCATTACAAGCGAGCTTCTTTTAGAGTCAAAACAGAGGATAAAAAATCTTTTGCTTTTCTGCTAGTTCTATGCTGGAATGAAGAGATTAGGTCTTATGGCATACCACAACGAAGGTAAACATTTTGCCTGCTTCCCAGTGAGTGACATTTGTCAGCCGTGCGATGCGACGTACGTTAGATCGATTTGTTCTTTTTGCTGGTCACGAGCTCTGCGGCAGATGAAGAAGGCTATTTGACCCAGGATAGCTGCGACCATAATAGAGGTATTCGCGGTTTTCATATTTTCAACGGCCCATTTGCTTGGCGCGGATCAGCCGATGGTAAACTACACAGGCGAGAGCATAGCACTGCAGGGCGTTTCTGATAGATCTCGGAAAGATGTTGCAAGAGAGTTTTATCCTTATTATTTTTTGGAATATTGGAAATGTTTTCCTGCGTAGTCGAGATTGGCATTGTTCTACAATTCATCTAATCTGGGGATGGGTCATTGAAATATTTGGACAGTGTTGAACCATTAAGTAATTATATTTATAGAAGCCTTGTTTAATCTTGACACAAAACGACACCGCAGTTTCGAACCGCCATTCATGTTGCACTGTCAAGAAATTAAGAGCGTTGATGGCGTTTATAGACAGTGCTCGACACCCGGCTAAAAGCTGCCATTTTTCGCACCTTATCAATATATAAAAGCTGTAACACAACAATTTCAAGCACTCGAGAACTCCTCTTCAGAATACTTTGTTATTTTGACTTTTATTATTTCTTAGATTAGATATTTATTAGAAATATTTTGATAACATTTCAAATCCATTTTGTAAATTTAGGCGTACCGCAAGGTCTTCCTAGCACAACGTTGCGTAAAGTTATTATCTTGCCTAAGTTACTTCAAAAAAAGGAATTCGGAAACGTAGCCACTTGATTTCATCTCTGCCTGCTGTCTCTCGTACAAATAGGTTTGCCTTAATCGGCTTTGCGGCGGGCGGTAAAGTGCCGCGAAGAGTTCCTACAATACTTGGATCTTTTTTTGGTTACAATTTGGGCTTCTTAAAACTAAGTTTTAAAAATTGTTTTGAACTAACAGAAAGCAACTGCCCACAATCGATGGAGATGATTCTGTTGACTAACAGCTAGCAGCTGGAAAAAGGAAAAGTTATAAATGGACTCCCACTGTTTTATAACATTACTACTGCTAGAAGTCCAAATACTAAACATAACATATATGGAATATATTGAAAATTCCGTACAAATATATTCTAATTGCTTTCATAAAAGTCTGTTCCATGTTACTGTTTTAAATAAGCTGTCAAAATCTAAACCTAATCTAAATCTCTGGTGCCGGTTTAACCTAGGACAAATTTGATTACGTGACACGTGCGTTAGTCTTGATCCTTTACAGATATATATATTTCCAGATTTTCCGTTAATCTATATTTTTGACTGCTTCAAAGCTCCCCAGGCAGGATATGCCTTACAGAATGTCATGTCATAATAGTAGTAGTGAAGGTAATAGGCGCCCAGGTTCCGGTAGTCCTTAACCAGTACCATGAATGATCTCGCGTTGTCATAGGGTGACATGATAAGCTGTGTGAGAAGGGAACGCGAATCAGACAAGCCACATTTTGTAAACGCTTGTATATATGTTATTTTCTAATTCTTACTGTAACAAAGAAAAAAAATTCAGCACCATGGCAGACTCGTCACATAAGTCCTGCGTAGCACCTCTAAAATAGCTGGTTGATAATGCTCTGTGGAGACAAATGCCATATCTACTTTCTGTCGTGTCATTGGAAAACAATTGAAAGTACATATGTGAAATTAACTGCGATATACAGGATCAATAGTTCAGAATTCCTACTTCGCTGAGTATATCTGTCAAATAAGTAAAGATTTTCTGTAACGATCATTATTTCAGTTCTCGTTTCTAAACGTTGAGTACAATGAAGTTTTTTGAGCAGACGACAGCAATATCAGTCTGTAATTATGTCCTGTACTTGCAATATTAAAGTCAGAGAATCTCTTATGCTTAAAGTACTATAGTAATAAGTAATGCTAAAAGTAGTATGTAAAAGTTTTTTTTACACATATTGTAGTCTCGAAGGTCTACACTCTTTAACACGCATCTGTTTTTTCATATACCAACTTAAGCTAATTACAACCAGAACTGTCTAAGCTACTGTTTTTTAAGGACAACTCATGTTGAAGTGCTACACGATATTAATTTATAGTGAGCTAATAGCAATAGTGGGAAATCATTCATTACAATTTGAGTTCAAGCGGACCAAGCAACCGGACTATTATTACATATTCTTGATGTCTGCGATGTCCACGGGTTCGTTCTGCGAACGGAAACAAAAAAAAAAAAGGATTTAAGATAAATAGGACTAGGAGAGGAGGTAATCATACACCAAGCTAGCTACCAGCCAGAACGAATTACGGTCGATTTTTCGATTCATCCTTGTGAAAGCTGTGTAGGACGTACACATAGCAAATAAGTTTTAAACAAAAATTATTTGCTGCTATTGCATAGGATTTTTATTTACTATTTTACTTGTTACTTAACTGTAATATATTGATTCGCTTTTTGATTTTACAGACGCTGAATTCAAGGGAGCGACGGAAGTCGTCGCAGGGATTGAAACTAACAAAAGACCTCATCGGAACACCGTTTAATTTCAAGTATGTACTTTGTTGTTGGCACAAAAACTCGATGTAACAAACCAAGAATTGAACATGTAAATGAATTATAATAAATCTTTTCTTCTGCAGTTCGTATGACAGCATTCGTAGAAATATTTTTTGACCATAAACGCCGGAAGAGCTGTAGAGATTCTCAACCACCTACTGAAATCCTCGAATACTAATCGTGAAGTTATTTGTATGGGGTGGCCCGGTACGATGATACGGAAATGAAATGTTCGTATTCACTGTTTTCGACTTCTTGAAGCTTTTTTTTTGCCGTTTAGAATAAGATATTGGTCATGCGCTTCGTTCTGACAAGATTTTCGAACCTCTTCGGCGTAACGTAATTTAGAGTAGAACGACATTGACGTTTGGTTAAATTGTGAGAAGTCGATTTCGATAAAATTTTGCTGATTCAACGTTAGTGAACTGTGGTCTCAATACGCTCTCAACTCAGCCAAACATCATAAGAAGTTGCGATAGTTTGTACTATGTGCCACAAAAACTCCTATAGGAGAATATTCAATAGTCTTAAATCGAAAAAATTTTGTAGTGGTCGTAGGTGAAGAAATGTCTGGTAGATGTTTGGCCCCAACTCGACCCTTAAATTTCGCATTATGCTCTTTATTTGTTGTAAATTGTTATAAATAACAATTTTCCAATTAAATCAACAATTAGTTTTCTAAACGATTTTACACTAAATAGCAAAAAAACCTATATAAAAGAACCAACCTACATCATAACAGAGGAAATTCAGCAAAGAGTGTGATTTAGTGTGTCCTTATAAGATCTAGATTCGTGAAAAGGGAGAAGTTACTAATTACGTTAGTGTTCCTTTTTTTTTTTTGAGTCATGTAATCTGAAGAGGTGCTTCTGGGAGGAACCTAATTTGCTCCCGAGACCTGATGGGCTGATACTATTGGAGAATGAGGTTACAGAATTTTAGCTATCTGTCAGTCCACCTTAAAGCAATGCAACTTCACCAGACTAACGTTAATGGATCATACATCGAAAATAATTACGTCCGTTTTTGACTAATTAAACAAACAAGACTTGCAAGTATGAAGATCAATGTTACCTCATATAATCTTTAAATATAATATAAAATATATAATCTTTAAAAGAATCCCTGTTCTCTCAATATTAATTATAAAAAAATAATTTTTATTTACTTCACTTTTTAAATGTTGACTTCTCTAGTTCTAAAATAATGCAAGTGATAGCTCTTTTAATTCGATTGCCCAATTTATGGGTTTCATGTATGACTAGCAAAAGCTAACGTCATATTCTTAGCGCAGCCCTTCGATTTTATCGAAATTAGGGGATTATGGGTTGTACCGAATTACGGCTTTCGCTGTATGGAGAACAATGAAATCCCTAATGAAGGGTAGATACATGTTACTGCTTTCCTGAGAGGAAACAGCAAAAGGAGAGCTGTCATGAAGGGAAGATTTACATTAGATAGTTTCTCAGCGATAAATAATTTGTAGAATCCTCAACAAAAAACAAACTTGTTCGTTTTTTTGATGCAACGAAAGTCATAGCCATATAAAATCTCATGGGCAATTAAAATGCGACTGCGTACACATCAAACTAAATACTAGCAGTCATTTTTTCTTTTTATTTAGAGTTACGACAATTCTACATTTACCTTGTTTCACTTGAGCTGAGATCCATACAAGTAAAAATACTTGCTTAGAATTATAGTTAAACGATACGTCTCGTTGTACAATAAAGGGAGTCATCAAATCGTTAGTGTTACTAGAACCGCGAAGAACCTTTTTCCAGTTCGTACATGATCGGTATCTATACGCTGAAAGAATATAATCATATAAAGGGCAAGCCTCGAACAACGAGGAATCCTCGAGGAGTTTTCGTTGTTCTTAAAATAAACTAAGGATTGAACCAATCATTTGATAATCGATTTGTCCCGGATATCTCGCATTCTCTGTACGGGACAAGACAACGCAATGCAGATATCGATAAGAGTCGTGAATTTGTTCACGTTGCTGAACCTTAATTGAATAATCATTATTTTTAAGTAATCGTTAGATTTACAGTAATGTACAAACATTCTCTAATGTTTGCACTCTCTCTAGAGTCGTTAATTCACGCCCAGCAGCAGCAGCAGAGCTCCTTCGATTAACACTTGTTCGATGTTTGTGCCATGCCGCTCAGCAGTAATTTATAAAAATGCTATCTACCTGGCTCATTTTGAATTAGATAGCTTCAAGATAATGCAGACGCTAGATAAGTGGGGGTTATATCAAGAGCAAACGATTAGTCATTTAATTGCCGAAAATGCGTCAGGTGAGCTCGATAGAAAACTTCAATGTGGAATGCTGAAGCTCTACTACGATCAGCAAAAACCTTGCTTTTATTTTCTCACCTTGTTAATAAATGTGTAGCAGTTGATAATGAGTTCCGTTTTTTTTTTTTTTTTTTTATAGTATAATAGCGTTATATTAGCATTATGATAGCAAGTATTGTATGAAAGGTTTATCGTATGTCACTTGTATTTAGTATTCTGTATAGGTGACCGTAATGGCCATACGGGGATTGAGTCAAACGAATGACGTAAGCTGGACTATTGTCATCGATAATACACTGTCTTCATCTTACTTGTCCTTGGTTATATCATTTTTTAACAATGTCCCAATATTATTTTCCGGCCAATGAAGGTCATCTTCATTAAGAATCATAATTGATTCATTATTCTTATGCCAAAAAAGATTCAACTTTGAAACTCAAATAAGATTCATGATTAAATTATTGATGCCATCAGGATCTGACTGTATCTGCTAAAGCCATCTGTAAAGTTTCTCCAATTTGGTGAAATTTAAAAAGTAAATAGATGTGAATATTTACTTGTTGTATGTAAACAATAAAAATTGTTACTCAGATATTGATCCAATATATACTCGTGGAACTTTGGTTGCTTATTTTATAGGTAGATAGGTTCTTACAAATAATTTATTCTCTCATATATATATAAGCAATGAATCAAAGCACATAAAGTGCTAGATAACTTTAGCGGTTAGGCCTATATCCTCGTCTTCGTTTTCTAATTACATTTCTTCTTCTATGCTGATCAGTATTTTTTCCGGGTCTGCATAGATGTGTTTAGAAAAAGAAACAAACAGGGATTTAAAAGGCTTTTTACCTTTTGTGCTATTACTATCCTCGTAGAAAGAGAACGTAAACCTTAGCTGCGAAATAGTGCTACATGGGATGCGGGCTGATGTACACGGCTAATACTTTCCTGTATCACGGTTCATTTTTAAGAATGAGCTTTTGACGAACTTTTAAACGCGTGGATTCTCTACATGTTAAGTAAGAATAAGAATTTGAAAAAATATGTACAAAAAACGTGAAACGAGTGACTAACTAAAGTTAAGTACATTATGGGGTAATCGCTGTAAGATAACGTACAATTCTCTGCAGTATTTTCTAGGCATTCACTAAACTATATTCACTTTCTATATTTACTTTCTATACTTATTTATTTAGTTTACATAATGATTTATTTCAGAAAGCCCACGACAGTTTGCGGCGTCTTTTTTTTTTTTTTTTTTGAATAGCTGACCTCCAACAAGAAACTTATCTTAAAAGTTTCTATGCCATCTTACCTAAATATACATTTATATACGAGGAAGAAATAAGCTCCGGTTGTTTATATGTATACTCAATTAATATGTACCTAAAACTTATCGAATACGAACATTTAGAGATGTCGAATGTCGGCTTGTCTCTTCTAAAATCAAGCTTTTTTTGAACATCGCCCAAATGCAAGTGTACAAAGCAGTACCTTCCCGCATAATGCAATCTACAATCTAATGAATACATTGAAATGTACGAAACGAATGTTCTGTCGAGTTGATGAAGACTAAGTTGATTTCCAATTGCCTATTCTGTTTTCAACGATTACCCATCTTTCCCGTTAGTGATGCATAGGTGACGTCACCGTTATGCAATTATATATGCACATTTTTACATATTGTCTTCATGTAAGATCTACTTCACACCCTGAGATTCTATGTCTTTCGTATTCTAGGGCTGATAGTTCCAGTATGCACTAAACAGAATGAAGAAGCAGCATTGGTACAGTGTCATCACTGAATGTAGACTCTACTCCAAATCCTGTGCACCAGAAAGGGGTTAAGATGTGAATTAGTTTCATGGCCACGTTTGGCTAATTAAGATACTACTCATAATTACGGGAAACAATAAGACGTAGAGCAAACTATTCGTTATAGTTCTAATCCAATGAGAACAACTTAGAACTTATTTAGAATATGGATTGTTCTTTGGCTCATTGCCAACAATACAGAATCATTGCTTATAAATAAGCTAGAACTGTTAGACATGTTGGGAAAAAAAATCAAAGGTTTAGCATTTTAAACTCACCACGTACTATGATTTGTAGGCGTTGTTCATATCGCGGTTTATTAGAGCCATTTGGCTATTGAATCATTTTGTCGGCGAAAACAAATTTTCTTCTGCGTTTGTTTGAATATTTTCTATGTGTTTTTGTCGGCTGTTTATTACGCATTTTGCATGAAGTAGTGTGAAACTATTCTTAATTGCTTGTTTTTGCTGTTATAGTTAATATCTTAAATAGGAGATTACATAATTTTGCTACAGCAAGATTGTATACGAAAGAACGTGTCGTGTTTTTTTCTAGTACCTAATAGCCAATATTCTACCGCTCACTGTTGGCTGAGCTAATTTATTGGTAGCCAGGTTGTAAGTATTTAAGCCACGTTCATATAAATTTTTCTCTACTATAAAATGTTGCTTGCAAGTGACGGCTCTAAGCAAATGTATAGTTCCTTGAAGTACCTTCGCGAGTCTCGCAATCCAGTGCAGTCCCATCTCTCCTGTGACTATGCCATCGTAACTTATTCAAACAAAGCCAGTGCCTACTAAATTGATAATGGAACAATCAGTGTCATCACAAAGCTTATTTACATTAATAAAGTATACGTTTCGTTATT